GGGTTGTCTTTGGTGTTGTCTTGGTAGTTGCTCTTGTTGTCCTTCTTGTTGTTGTTGTTGTTCTCTTGGTTGGCTTCTTAGTTGTGGTTTTGGTGGTGGTGGTGCGGGTTGTCTTTGGTGTTGTCTTGGTAGTTGCTCTTGTTGTCCTTCTTGTTGTTGTTGTTGTTGTCTTGGTTGGCTTCTTAGTTGTGGTTTTGGTGGTGGTGGTGCGGGTTGTCTTTGGTGTTGTCTTGGTAGTTGCTCTTGTTGTCCTTCTTGTTGTTGTTGTTGTTCTCTTGGTTGGCTTCTTAGTTGTGGTTTTGGTGGTGGTGGTGCGGGTTGTCTTTGGTGTTGTCTTGGTAGTTGCTCTTGTTGTCCTTCTTGTTGTTGTTGTTGTTCTCTTGGTTGGCTTCTTAGTTGTGGTTTTGGTGGTGGTGGTGCGGGTTGTCTTTGGTGTTGTCTTGGTAGTTGCTCTTGTTGTCCTTCTTGTTGTTGTTGTTGTTCTCTTGGTTGGCTTCTTAGTTGTGGTTTTGGTGGTGGTGGTGCGGGTTGTCTTTGGTGTTGTCTTGGTAGTTGCTCTTGTTGTCCTTCTTGTTGTTGTTGTTGTTCTCTTGGTTGGCTTCTTAGTTGTGGTTTTGGTGGTGGTGGTGCGGGTTGTCTTTGGTGTTGTCTTGGTAGTTGCTCTTGTTGTCCTTCTTGTTGTTGTTGTTGTTCTCTTGGTTGGCTTCTTAGTTGTGGTTTTGGTGGTGGTGGTGCGGGTTGTCTTTGGTGTTGTCTTGGTAGTTGCTCTTGTTGTCCTTCTTGTTGTTGTTGTTGTTCTCTTGGTTGGCTTCTTAGTTGTGGTTTTGGTGGTGGTGGTGCGGGTTGTCTTTGGTGTTGTCTTGGTAGTTGCTCTTGTTGTCCTTCTTGTTGTTGTTGTTGTTCTCTTGGTTGGCTTCTTAGTTGTGGTTTTGGTGGTGGTGGTGCGGGTTGTCTTTGGTGTTGTCTTGGTAGTTGCTCTTGTTGTCCTTCTTGTTGTTGTTGTTGTTCTCTTGGTTGGCTTCTTAGTTGTGGTTTTGGTGGTGGTGGTGCGGGTTGTCTTTGGTGTTGTCTTGGTAGTTGCTCTTGTTGTCCTTCTTGTTGTTGTTGTTGTTCTCTTGGTTGGCTTCTTAGTTGTGGTTTTGGTGGTGGTGGTGCGGGTTGTCTTTGGTGTTGTCTTGGTAGTTGCTCTTGTTGTCCTTCTTGTTGTTGTTGTTGTTCTCTTGGTTGGCTTCTTAGTTGTGGTTTTGGTGGTGGTGGTGCGGGTTGTCTTTGGTGTTGTCTTGGTAGTTGCTCTTGTTGTCCTTCTTGTTGTTGTTGTTGTTCTCTTGGTTGGCTTCTTAGTTGTGGTTTTGGTGGTGGTGGTGCGGGTTGTCTTTGGTGTTGTCTTGGTAGTTGCTCTTGTTGTCCTTCTTGTTGTTGTTGTTGTTCTCTTGGTTGGCTTCTTAGTTGTGGTTTTGGTGGTGGTGGTGCGGGTTGTCTTTGGTGTTGTCTTGGTAGTTGCTCTTGTTGTCCTTCTTGTTGTTGTTGTTGTTCTCTTGGTTGGCTTCTTAGTTGTGGTTTTGGTGGTGGTGGTGCGGGTTGTCTTTGGTGTTGTCTTGGTAGTTGCTCTTGTTGTCCTTCTTGTTGTTGTTGTTGTTCTCTTGGTTGGCTTCTTAGTTGTGGTTTTGGTGGTGGTGGTGCGGGTTGTCTTTGGTGTTGTCTTGGTAGTTGCTCTTGTTGTCCTTCTTGTTGTTGTTGTTGTTCTCTTGGTTGGCTTCTTAGTTGTGGTTTTGGTGGTGGTGGTGCGGGTTGTCTTTGGTGTTGTCTTGGTAGTTGCTCTTGTTGTCCTTCTTGTTGTTGTTGTTGTTCTCTTGGTTGGCTTCTTAGTTGTGGTTTTGGTGGTGGTGGTGCGGGTTGTCTTTGGTGTTGTCTTGGTAGTTGCTCTTGTTGTCCTTCTTGTTGTTGTTGTTGTTCTCTTGGTTGGCTTCTTAGTTGTGGTTTTGGTGGTGGTGGTGCGGGTTGTCTTTGGTGTTGTCTTGGTAGTTGCTCTTGTTGTCCTTCTTGTTGTTGTTGTTGTTCTCTTGGTTGGCTTCTTAGTTGTGGTTTTGGTGGTGGTGGTGCGGGTTGTCTTTGGTGTTGTCTTGGTAGTTGCTCTTGTTGTCCTTCTTGTTGTTGTTGTTGTTCTCTTGGTTGGCTTCTTAGTTGTGGTTTTGGTGGTGGTGGTGCGGGTTGTCTTTGGTGTTGTCTTGGTAGTTGCTCTTGTTGTCCTTCTTGTTGTTGTTGTTGTTCTCTTGGTTGGCTTCTTAGTTGTGGTTTTGGTGGTGGTGGTGCGGGTTGTCTTTGGTGTTGTCTTGGTAGTTGCTCTTGTTGTCCTTCTTGTTGTTGTTGTTGTTCTCTTGGTTGGCTTCTTAGTTGTGGTTTTGGTGGTGGTGGTGCGGGTTGTCTTTGGTGTTGTCTTGGTAGTTGCTCTTGTTGTCCTTCTTGTTGTTGTTGTTGTTCTCTTGGTTGGCTTCTTAGTTGTGGTTTTGGTGGTGGTGGTGCGGGTTGTCTTTGGTGTTGTCTTGGTAGTTGCTCTTGTTGTCCTTCTTGTTGTTGTTGTTGTTCTCTTGGTTGGCTTCTTAGTTGTGGTTTTGGTGGTGGTGGTGCGGGTTGTCTTTGGTGTTGTCTTGGTAGTTGCTCTTGTTGTCCTTCTTGTTGTTGTTGTTGTTCTCTTGGTTGGCTTCTTAGTTGTGGTTTTGGTGGTGGTGGTGCGGGTTGTCTTTGGTGTTGTCTTGGTAGTTGCTCTTGTTGTCCTTCTTGTTGTTGTTGTTGTTCTCTTGGTTGGCTTCTTAGTTGTGGTTTTGGTGGTGGTGGTGCGGGTTGTCTTTGGTGTTGTCTTGGTAGTTGCTCTTGTTGTCCTTCTTGTTGTTGTTGTTGTTGTCTTGGTTGGCTTCTTAGTTGTTGTTTTGGTGGTGGTGGTGCGGGTTGTCTTTGGTGTTGTCTTGGTAGTTGCTCTTGTTGTCCTTCTTGTTGTTGTTGTTGTTCTCTTGGTTGGCTTCTTAGTTGTGGTTTTGGTGGTGGTGGTGCGGGTTGTCTTTGGTGTTGTCTTGGTAGTTGCTCTTGTTGTCCTTCTTGTTGTTGTTGTTGTTCTCTTGGTTGGCTTCTTAGTTGTGGTTTTGGTGGTGGTGGTGCGGGTTGTCTTTGGTGTTGTCTTGGTAGTTGCTCTTGTTGTCCTTCTTGTTGTTGTTGTTGTTCTCTTGGTTGGCTTCTTAGTTGTGGTTTTGGTGGTGGTGGTGCGGGTTGTCTTTGGTGTTGTCTTGGTAGTTGCTCTTGTTGTCCTTCTTGTTGTTGTTGTTGTTCTCTTGGTTGGCTTCTTAGTTGTGGTTTTGGTGGTGGTGGTGCGGGTTGTCTTTGGTGTTGTCTTGGTAGTTGCTCTTGTTGTCCTTCTTGTTGTTGTTGTTGTTCTCTTGGTTGGCTTCTTAGTTGTGGTTTTGGTGGTGGTGGTGCGGGTTGTCTTTGGTGTTGTCTTGGTAGTTGCTCTTGTTGTTCTTCTTGTTGTTGTTGTTGTTGTGTTGGTTGGCTTCTTAGTTGTGGTTTTGGTGGTGGTGGTGCGGGTTGTCTTTGGTGTTGTCTTGGTAGTTGCTCTTGTTGTCCTTCTTGTTGTTGTTGTTGTTCTCTTGGTTGGCTTCTTAGTTGTGGTTTTGGTGGTGGTGGTGCGGGTTGTCTTTGGTGTTGTCTTGGTAGTTGCTCTTGTTGTCCTTCTTGTTGTTGTTGTTGTTCTCTTGGTTGGCTTCTTAGTTGTGGTTTTGGTGGTGGTGGTGCGGGTTGTCTTTGGTGTTGTCTTGGTAGTTGCTCTTGTTGTCCTTCTTGTTGTTGTTGTTGTTGTCTTGGTTGGCTTCTTAGTTGGGGTTTTGGTGGTGGTGGTGCGGGTTGTCTTTGGTGTTGTCTTGGTAGTTGCTCTTGTTGTCCTTCTTGTTGTTGTTGTTGTTCTCTTGGTTGGCTTCTTAGTTGTGGTTTTGGTGGTGGTGGTGCGGGTTGTCTTTGGTGTTGTCTTGGTAGTTGCTCTTGTTGTCCTTCTTGTTGTTGTTGTTGTTCTCTTGGTTGGCTTCTTAGTTGTGGTTTTGGTGGTGGTGGTGCGGGTTGTCTTTGGTGTTGTCTTGGTAGTTGCTCTTGTTGTCCTTCTTGTTGTTGTTGTTGTTCTCTTGGTTGGCTTCTTAGTTGTGGTTTTGGTGGTGGTGGTGCGGGTTGTCTTTGGTGTTGTCTTGGTAGTTGCTCTTGTTGTCCTTCTTGTTGTTGTTGTTGTTCTCTTGGTTGGCTTCTTAGTTGTGGTTTTGGTGGTGGTGGTGCGGGATGTCTTTGGTGTTGTCTTGGTAGTTGCTCTTGTTGTCCTTCTTGTTGTTGTTGTTGTTGTCTTGGTTGGCTTCTTAGTTGTGGTTTTGGTGGTGGTGGTGCGGGTTGTCTTTGGTGTTGTCTTGGTAGTTGCTCTTGTTGTCCTTCTTGTTGTTGTTGTTGTTCTCTTGGTTGGCTTCTTAGTTGTGGTTTTGGTGGTGGTGGTGCGGGTTGTCTTCGGTGTTGTCTTGGTAGTTGCTCTTGTTGTCCTTCTTGTTGTTGTTGTTGTTCTCTTGGTTGGCTTCTTAGTTGTGGTTTTGGTGGTGGTGGTGCGGGTTGTCTTTGGTGTTGTCTTGGTAGTTGCTCTTGTTGTCCTTCTTGTTGTTGTTGTTGTTCTCTTGGTTGGCTTCTTAGTTGTGGTTTTGGTGGTGGTGGTGCGGGTTGTCTTTGGTGTTGTCTTGGTAGTTGCTCTTGTTGTCCTTCTTGTTGTTGTTGTTGTTCTCTTGGTTGGCTTCTTAGTTGTGGTTTTGGTGGTGGTGGTGCGGGTTGTCTTTGGTGTTGTCTTGGTAGTTGCTCTTGTTGTCCTTCTTGTTGTTGTTGTTGTTCTCTTGGTTGGCTTCTTAGTTGTGTTTGGGGTTGTTTGTGTTTCGCTTTCTTTTTTGGTTGTGTGTTTTTGGTTGATTTTTGGGAATTCTATTTTTTTTGTCGTATCGGTTTCTTTTTGTTGTTCTTTTGTTATATATGGTTCTTTTGCGACGTAATTGCCTCTGTTGTATTTTATAGGTGAAATAATATAGAAAATGCATATTTAATTCTTTTGTTTTCTCTTTTTTTATGTAGCAAATATTTTATTTTAGTTTCGATTTTGTTAGGAACTTTTTTATTTTTGTATTTATTGTGAATTAATATTAATTTTTTTTGGAATGGTTTTTAATTTGAAGTTTTGCGGTATATTTCCTCACGTGCATATATGAACTTAAATGTCACTGATTATTAGTAATTATTTTGCAGATATCACTTTCACGTTTTTCTCCTCTTGAGCATTACTCTACTATGACGCCACTGGGGATTTAATATAGGACCTGAGTATTAAGAATGAAGTATTTCGGACATCCGACTACACGGCTGGAATTTAATGACGAATGCATTTCCATTTCTCTTAATCCTCATTGTACGGGGAACGTAATCCTTTGCATTAGTTATGAACTATGCTAATTAACACCTTGATTGATTTTGACCAGAAATCTGACAACTTATTGAAGTAAAAGCTATGACTATTTAAAAATACTACCTACATTCTTTAGTAAAACAAGTCAGTGTACTATTTTAACATTCTTTCCTCCACCAACATGTATATTTTATAGGTGACATAATCAAATAAAACAAGTGAGTGTTGTGGGAAATAAAGTATTACATCATAAATATATATATACATATCGTTGTAGTCGTGTTCTCTGAGCAAACACCTGAAAAGACAGAGAATTTTTCGGAAGCCTTTTATTCAAATGAATCGGCGATTAATAGACACATCGACGTAGACAAGATTTACCAATCCATAAGAAGGATATTCCATTCACAAAAAGTTAGACATCAGATCAAGGAAACAATCAGTACGAATACGAGTAGACCGAACGGTGTGAAGAAACACAGAAACACTTAATCACTGACGTTGAAGGTTACCAGGAGAAATGACTAATAAACTCGTGAAGAAACTTAAAAGCTCACTTCAAATTGAAGTTCGCACTGAGGATGTTGCCCAGTAAGACGATGAAAGCTTCACAAGTAAATCATCTAGCTCAGAGAACACAACCACACCGATATTGCTAAGAAGAGTAAGTCTTCGTTGGATTCATTTTCTTTTATATTACCCAATAGGGATTTTCAAGTTGCTTAAACGTTGCAAGGACCCGGTGACGGCAAAGGCGCTAGACAATTTCTGGCATTACTCTATCAAGCTTGCAGTAGCGAAAACAGAGATATAGTTTCCAAGAGAATGTTCAGATAAATATGAATATCCAGAGTTGTACTAGAAATCCCTGAGACGCAACGATATCTACCTGAATACCAGATCACTCAAAGAACACACACGTAGCAACACTGACTCCACTCAATCACGTGTTCCTGAACTAGGACGAAGTGTGTACGTATGAGTTCATGAAGTCAGCAACCTAGATGAAGAACTACGCCAATTCTTCGGAGAATATGTCCAAGAAGTCACACGGAAACAATGTGATAGGATCAAGTTAAATCTAATTATGAGGCTGAAGTCATCTAGTAATACTAAACATCCAATCCCAATCAATCCAGAAAAATATGTATTGAATCTCTCAAACATCGAACTGTTAACACTTCAACCAGAAGTAGTATCCCTAGGTCCAAAATTGTGCACGAAACCACCCAACATCCACTAACCTCAATCCCAGGTTTATTTTCAAAACTTGATAAGTAAAATATATGACCTGGTACCAACATCTGAAAAGAACCTCAAGCAATTAAAATCATCAGTTCTTGATAAATGCCATAAGTTTATAAATACTTAACCAAATGGGAGGTTCATAATAACCAGGAAACATTATAAAGAACTGAAAGAATCAATGGGCAACAAAGAGAACATTCTGATACGCTCTGATAAAAGTGTGGGAATAGTAATCATGAATCCTGAGAACTACATAAGTGAAATGCTGACTTTCCTATCTGATTAAAACAAATTCACAAAACCAGTTAATGAAAAGAACATGGTGGAGCGACCCAGACAAAAACTAACTGATATCCTCCGGAAACTAAAGACTGAATCATCCACTGATCCCGAAAAATTCGAATTACTGAAGCTGTTTGGCTCAAATCCACCTCGAGTTTATGGATTACTAAAAGTGCATAAGAAAGGCACACCTCTTCGACCTACCTGCCATCTGACGAATTCACCTTATCATCTCACTGCCCAATGGCTATTAGACCTACTGAAACCAATGAGAAGGCAAGTTTCCTGCCAATCGCCCCTTCGACTTAGTCAGCTCCATTAAAAACGTCAATGTTTTTAATCGAACTATGTTCTGACTAGATGTGGTATAACTGTTTACAAACGTTCCACTAGCTGAAACAATATGCTATATATGCAAAAATATTGATTCAAAGGGGATAAATACTGGTATATCTATTGACCATTTGCAGAAACGCCTAATAAGATGCACTCTAAGTGTTCAGTTTTCTCTCAATAACGAAATATAGCTATGGGCTCACCACTGAACCCATTGCTGGCAGATTTTCCCATGTCTAAATTAGAAAACATACTTTTAAAAAATGATTGACAGCTTTGAGTTTTAAAAGAAATACGTGGACAATTCTCCCATTATCTCCAATAACGAGGGGGAATTGGAGGACATCCTGAACTTTTTCAACAGCTGTTATCCTGTAATATAATTTTAATTAGAGAGGGAGTTCGACACAAAACTGTATTTTCTGGGCGTTTAGTTAACAAATGGAACACTAAAAAGATCCATCTATAGAAAGCTGACATGGAACGGATAACTCACTAACTTTCTTAGTAGGGCGCCTCTATCTACGAAACGAAACCTAATCAGCTCGCTGAGCCACAAAATCCGCAAAATTTGCAGTCCTGACACTATGGAAAAGGAGCTGAACACTCTGGAAAGAATCCTCCTAGAAAATGACTACATAGAACATTTCATGACGAAGTCTATGAAACCTAACCCACTTAAACCGCCCACATTTTCTGCTGCTAAAAAGCGTCTCTACTTCAATCTACAGTTGAACGCAGACTCATCGGCAGAAATACTGAAAAACCGCCTGTCCCGCTTAGTAAAGAAAACTTTTACGGTTGAACTTCGCATAACTTTTTCTATGAAACCAATTGCCCTCATGAAAGTAAAGCATAAACCATCAGTGTTGGCCTAATCAATGGGCATCTACCAATTGACCTGCTCCTGTGGAACTAGGCCTGCCAGGCGTACCCAGCGTTTACTATCCAGACGTATCTTCGAACACTTACCCTCATGGTTTGATGAAATAGAAGAAAGATCTCCTCGTGGCTCTGTCCTTGAACACCTGACCGAATCCCTACAACAAGTCAACCCACAAAGGAATTTCAAAGCTATCTACAAAATACGAGGGGGTACGAATCACACTTCTTCAAACCACAGAGGCAATGGCGATTCACATGTTAAGTTCTGAACCATTCGGTCATTAAATGTGCAGTGGGAAGCATAAGTTGGTGAAATTCGGAAACAAAGGGTTACTAGGGGATGAGTCACCAGGGTAGTTGAAGTTCAACGACAGATTCCTTCTGGACATATTAGTCAGGTTTCAGTCGTTTTATTGCGATAGCCTCAGAAATTTGAAGAAGACTTGAGCTATTTTCTCTGTTAACTTTTTGAGTGATCTTAGAGCGCCTACATGGTGCCCAGTCTCTATCAGGTGTTTGATGATTGAAGAGCTTGAACTGTTTTTCCCTTCTAACCAGAAGCTCCTTGAAACATGTTCAAATAATCCAAAGTAAATCCTTCTTTCTGTTCTTCCAATGTAACTTCTCCCGTAGATATTTGTGAATTGGTATAACATTTGAGGGGTACTTGTCAATTTTCGACTGTAACAACAAGGAGGATGTTTGAAGCAGAGAGACTAGTTTTGTTGAAGAATACGTCCTGGGAGAGGGATTCGTTTAATCTTCTATTTATTACTCATATCGTCGCCTTTTTAGTCAAGTTCGGTAAAAACCGCCTTCGTACTGACTGTAGCTGCATCAGGCTTCTTACTTTCATTCTCGCTATATTTGTTGATGAAGCGTTGTAGGTAACCATTTTCTTTCAAGCATTTCTAAAGCAACATTAGTTCACTGCCTTTTCACACATTCACCCTACATTGTTCCTTTCTACTTCCATAACAGAATATTTTTCTGCACATTCTGAGTTCTACTTACCGTATTACGTTATCTTTTCATTTGACCTCTTGCAGATCAAATTTTGATCTCTTTTCTATGTAACTGTTACCAATTTTTTGTTACCACCCTTGTAACCGATTTGTCAATTAATTCAGATACACACTATCTACACCTAACAGTGTGGTGAATATGTTGTTACACATTTTGTTTCTACCAGTAGGTTTTCATACGAAGTGTCCAATGCACTTCTGAGATTAGTCTTCAGTCAGTATGCTGGGAGAATGTCTAGTCGTCTGTGACTAAATCTCCATGAGTATTGGAAGTGAATTCATCTGAACAGTTTACTGGGACTATAGGTGTATATCAGTTCTAAGAATGGCTAATAATGATTTCAATGATGCTCATCATTTTCCACAGTGATGTACTTATCATGTGTAACAGTACAAAGTGTAAGTTAACATTAGTCAGTTTTCTGATGACTTACCCAGGGCCATAATTGCACACAATGCTCAATCTGAACGGTGAATTGGGGCATTCTGTTACACTGCATCCAATATCGGTAGTTTCTTCCCAGACAATCTAAATGAAAAACGAGTAGTAGGATGTGAATGATGTTATTCTTTAAAAGTCTGTCTGAAACATCCAACGTGTATGCCTTGTTTCAAGAATATATATTTTGTAGATAAATGGAGGAACATCTATGGGTTCACTCTTGTCATAACAAGCTCTTCAGACTCTATTTATACACCTTAGGTTAAGTACAACTTATTTAGTATTTGTCAAATGGGTGTAGAAATCGATGTACTTCATTTTTCAACTCTTACCTGTGTATATTCATTACATTGACCTTCTTCACAATAACTTCTGAAGTAATCATAATATTTATGTTCATCCAACCATGATTTGAATCCCCTTGTTTACAAAGAAACAAAAGTGGACAAAAACATTTAAAATTGTAATGATGATGATCAAAAATGGAAGTGATAACGTAACGATGTCGAAACATAAGAAAAATTACTATGATCAACATAATAAGAAGAAGAAATAAGAGTTGAGCTAGTCTACGGTTCTGCAGAACAATCGAAACACATTATAAACTTACAGGATTAATCTATGAAATGTACCTTTTTGGCTACTTTATTAACTGTTCATCAGGTAAATCTTATCTTTTAATTCTAAATTCTGTAGTATTATGACCATAGTTAATGAAATGAATACACTCGGTGTAATCTTATCATTTAGACACTGGAATTTCTCGCAAACATTCAATAAAGACCTGCATTTTTACTACCTAACTCTATAGACATTCATAAACGATAACTAAGGAGAATAAAAACAACAGAATCAATTCATATGTAACAAAGATGGAATACTTATCTGCCTAGATAGAAGATTCAGGGATATTTATTTCCAAACATAAAAATAATATTAGTGAATTGTGGACTGTTCTTTTTTACGACGAAAATTAATCCCAAAAATCAGTTGATTAGAGTGAAATGTTTTGAAATTCTGAGAAAAAATTAAAAGATGAGTTCCTTATTAGTCGTTATTTGTATGAATATCGTAAGCCTTCCTGTTCAAGGTTTCTTCCCGAAGGTGCATAGAAAAGGCACCTGTAAGTATCCTGAACTGGATATCGGTTAACTCCCCTTACCATTTTACTCAAAACTGTTCGATGAATCTTTCCAACTAGTGACATGAAATTTTCTCAGATAAAGTCTTTGAGTGTCTTTTGACTTCTACAGTTGCATTGATGATGCTGATGTGACCGGTAAGCTTATGATATCAATAAATTGTTGCTGTATGTATATGCATTGAATTGAATATTGCTATGTTTAGGCAGTCAGAGTGATGTCATTTACAAGGAAGAGGAAAGACACTTACAGTTCGATTGTACTCGCACCTGCCCAATTTTGCCCAACATATGGAAATGGAGAAATTTTTCGCTCCACAGCTCTATCGTGTCCAGCACGACACTGTTCAGATAATGTTTGTGCCTTCTTCTCCAGCTCCAAATTGTATTTCTGAAATATTTAAAATTGGAATTCACTAGATGAACTTAAATCTTAATAACTGTCAGACAAAAAACTGTTTCGGTTAATTCGTTATGCAAAGGCGTGTGGAAATAACTATAATACTCATTTAATAATTGTGTCAGTTTAAAAATGCTGTGGCAGGAATACATGTAGCGATTCTGACAACAAATAGGCATTTCGTGTTCATATGTACTTCAACTATTTGGAAAATGTGAGTAAAGCCTGCCTGTTAGCATTCATCAATCAAGTTTACTGAATTCGTTAATGTTCTACTGTGGGCGTCACAAGTCTTAAAGGGGATTGTGTTCAACCGTGAAACATGCCAGCACAAACATCAGCTATTAAGACATCATTGAAATTACTCAGTAGGATATATATAGTTATATATACTGATTTATCTTACCATTGGTTTGATAGAAATGGCTATCGGTTGTCCTTTGAGTTGACCATTCCGAACAGTCTGTCTCACATCATTGTGAAGGGTGAGAAATTTGTTTCTCAATGTGTCGTTCATTTTCCCACTGACACGAGAAAGCAGGACCAAGCATATGCATAGTAGAATGAGTGGTGGATGTCGAATGAGATGCCTTTCTGCGGATCTTAACCTCATGTTGCATGGGAATAACAATGGGATAGCTCAACTGTTAACCGTCGAAGTGAACATTTACATGTGTATATATATCCTTAGGAGAACTAATCTGACAGATTCAAATCTCATTAGCTGACCGGAGTATTTAAACGTCAATAAGAATTATGTTTTGCTTATTAAATGTAACACATTTTAGGTCAATCGATTGATTAGTGTTAATCTCCACAGATAAAGAATGACGTCTGTTTGAGGAATCATGATAGAAGATGGTGTTATTGCTGTGTAAGATCCACCCCTTTCATTGTAATAGAGAACACCTGTTCGTATAAGGTAAAGTTTGTAAATCGTTGTACTTTAAGGTGAGCTGAGTATTTCCATAAAATTGCAATAATCCCTTATTAACCTTATAAATGCGCACAAAAACGTAGAGAAAGGAAATCCAAAGGATTCATAATTTACAAAATATTTGAAACAAAAAGGAATATATTAATGAAGAGTACTGATTTTAAAAATATAGAAGGTTACAAAGAGGGAATGCACTTATAAGGTTGTGAATGATTTCAATGGACAGCTTTTGGTCAGTGGTTCCTATAGATTGCATAGTTTTCAATATGAGTTAAATGAAAAGTTATGAAATGGTCTCATCGTTAAGAACGCCCTATTCATATCTGGCATTTTTGGACCAACATCACCTACGACAGCTTAGCAAAAAAAATTTATGACATGCATTATTCAGCCCCCATTGTGCAGAAGATTGACATTCTGATTTCGGGTTTTGTACGAATTCTCATTGATTCCGTATCGAAATCTGCATTAAGGTTTATAATTATTTAAGACAAACGGACTCCTTAGTTCATACACAATAGTTTTTTTAAATTATGAAGGCGTCCAGCTCACTAACTGGTTGAGTCTGAAATCATGGCCGCTAATTAGTCAGGCGTGAAGACAGATACTCGCTACTGACAGTGTTTACCTGCAGTTCTGTCTTGCTAAATGATGGAAGTTGAATGCTTGTAACATGAAAGTCCTTGGTCGGTTTCTCGGTGGGTGCGTTGGTGCGCGTAACTGGAGAGTCTCAAAATGGGACAAAACAGCTGTCCACTGCTTCTTGGTTTCCAGTGATTCTGTAACTTGTATTGGTTCGTGAACAGTTGTTCCTCAAAATAAAATCAATAATATTATGAATATAACTGGAAAATGTGACATTTAAGTGTGGTTTTATTTTTAAGGGGAGTGGAGCTGCTAGCCTCACACCCAGCCTTCCCCCTTTACCAGCTTTAATTCTGGCTTAGTTAGGCTTAGGAGTGAGTCAACCGAGGATTGATTTCTGAACCAGATGAAGAGTGGTCGGCGAGTGTTAGACCCCTGAATTACCGAGACACATATAAACATTATCAGGCCGAGGCGGATTGTAAATGGAATACAGCCTTCTTCAAACCTTGCACATAACCATTATGTCGCGTACTATCCTATCGTCCTTGGCAGATCTGGCATGTGACAAGCTAGGTAACCTATTCGTATTGATGAACACAAAACTCTCATTCATCTTTTTTATCACACGCTGAATACTTAATATCTATGTCACGTGTTGCTCAGCAGCATATTCCGTCAGACAGAATTCCTCCTCTCTCTTGTTTCAACATCTACAAAGCTAATTCAAATGAACTGTCGTCAAGATTTGACAGAATAGTTCTAAAATATTTGGACGCCGAGTGAGAAGTAGACATTTGTGAAAAATTATATTTGTAAAATCTCAGCGAAATTGAAATGAGTAATTCCAACGTTTCGTTCGGTAATCTGGTCCGAACTTCTTCAGGGAAATTAATCGAAATTAACATAACAGAGGTTTATATATAAAAGGAAACATCACTTGTTTTTAAAAACTTTGTCCAATCATGAGTCATTCAACAAGTATCAACAAGTAAACTAAACAAAAATGTATGAGCTGTGATCAAAATTTGACCTCTCCGTTGTCTGCAACAGAATGCATATCCTAAATCCGTAGCTGTCGAGTCACCTGACAACTGCAGTAGGTCAAATAAAGCAGCTCAATCTTCAGAAGGAAGACAAAGCGATAAGTCCGACAGGGTGCTTCTACTAAACTCTAATCCTAAACACCATAATTTTGAAAATACGTCTAATCATAAAATTCTAGATACTAGCAGTTTGAACAGACATGAAGGTGTGATGTTAGCTGATGCATAGGAAATCCTTATTAATAAATAAAAAAATGGATATGTATCACTAATTATTAATCCTTGGTCAAAATTCTCGACTGTCCATATCTTCTTATGGAAACGTTAAGAAATGTTTTACAACTGTTTACCCACACACACATACACACTCTGTTTAAAGTGTTTAACAAAGGTAGACCAATATTTGTAAGTCCGAGGTCAAATTTCGATCACGGCTCATAAAATTTCGTTTAGTTTACTTGTTGATACTTGTTGAATGACTCATGATTGGACAAAGTTTTTAAAAACAAGTGATGTTCCTTGTATATATAAACCTCTGTTATGTTAATTTCGATTAATTTCCCTGAAGAAGTTCGGACCAGATTGCCGAACGAAACGTTGGAATTACTCATTTCAATCTCTCTGAGATTTTACAAATGTCTACAAAGCTAATTGCTTTCAACCATATTCAATTTCAAATCATTTATGGTGTCTCTTCACTCATTTGAAGTAACTTGGATGGATCACCGATACTTGTGTTGTTTTATAAATTAATAGTAGTAATAATAATGCTTTATTTCAGACAGTATTGGTAACACATAGTATAGAAATCTTAATCATATTTAGTTGCGAAATATTTCTTCGCACAGGATCTAAAAGAGTTGATTTGTAGGGATTTAGTTTATTTTTCAAGTTTAACAACGGATCGATATCAGTTAGAGAATCATTAAAAGCCAAAGAAGTACTGGACAACTGTTCCACCTCACTGTAGGATTCATCGTCATTACACATCCACCGGGTTTCGAACCCATGGCCTCCTGGTTACAAAGCAAGTTCGTAGACTATTCAGACACTGGAACCCGACTCAATGGCCCATGAATTCTAACTTCTACCAATTTGTGATTTTTGAGCGTAGACCAGCCAATGTCATCGGCGGGAACTCCATCTTCACTCCCGACTGGATGAATCCACTACAAATCCAGGAAACTGCGTTAGGTAGCCAGTTATTAGCGAGCGAGCATCAGATCTATTTTCAATAGTTGGTTTGTAGGGATTTAAGTAGGTTTTTCAAGTTTGACCCCAGAGTGATAAAAGTTAGAATTCATTGACTACTAAGATGGGTCCTAGTAGTCAAATGATCTACGAGCCTGCCTTATAGACGGAAGGTACTAGATTCAAAAACCAGTGGAATCATACTGCCAATGAGTCCGAAACTAGAATAAATCAAATGTCTAGTATTTCCTACTTTTCAATGATTCTAAAACTTATGTCAGTCCGGGGTCAAACTTGTAAAATAAAAAAAATGATGACTTTCGGCATACTTTATGACACAATGTCGTTCTATACGAAGAAAAATCCAATCTACGATATTTTTCTCCATTTCCCTCAGGAACTGTCTATAATTCTGTTGTAAGCTAGTTACAAATGCGTGTGGATTCACTTACTAAAAAATGAGTATAATTGCATGATTAAAACAAGTGCAAAAGAGTTTAGGCATGATGATGAGTGTGAATTTCATTAGTCCAGTGGTTTAAGCTGGCCACCAGTTGTTGGCAGCGCTACTCACATTGTTTTATCAACAATATAAAACAGCTTGAACTGAAATCAGCTAATGAAGAACCAATAAAAACCAAGCAGTATTGGATAGCTTTCCCCTTTAATTTTGGTCATACATGACCACACAGGGAATGAAAGTCGAGATTTTAAGGTTAGGTGGTGAGCCCACTAACCATTCAGCCATTGCGATGGAATTGAAAGGTTCGTGAATCCCAACTTCTGTCACTTTTCCCCAACTGACATCCGTCCACGATGTAACCTAAAAACGACAGAGTTCTTAATAGCTAGTAATTGAAATTATAGACCATCCCAGTGTACCTCTAACTGAGCAGATGGTACTTTCCATTCACTATTGTTTCTATTAATGTGAAGAAACAGCTGATTACTTGACTACGAACGTAACCGAAGTATCAGATTTTTCCGATATTTTTCAATGAACAGGCAGAGGACTACATCGGGAAACGTCATATTTATAGAAACTGGTTTCACTAAGTATATGACTCGTCATCAAGCTGTAGGATTGTATATATGACCACACTGCAGGCTGACCTACTAGTGGAACCCGAATGTGAAGCGTAGGGTTAGATATCAAAAAGTGACATGTTACACTAGGGACACAAGGAATTAATAACGATAATACTGAAAGAATTTAGTGTATGCAGATGGCATGCATTATGCAAAAAAAGCTGAAGGTAAGAATTCAGTATGGATACTGCATTACATAGTATTTACACTAAGGATGAGTATGATTTCTGGGTATTTAAATATTGATGAGACAGAGAACGTTTTCTGTCGATAACATGTTACTACTTATGCTTAGCTAGTAGTAAAACATACTCTTCAAAATATGCAAGGACTGAATGTATGACAAAATTTGTTATCAGATATTTCATAGAGAATTTTCTTTGGGACAAGAAGAAAATGCAAACGAGTCTTCTCCAAGAATTTAGTAGCAAACTCTATAGTAATGTATACATGAATTTTAATAATTACTTGAATTGTGACAAAAAAACTGATTTGTATTGTACTTTATAAAATAGTTCTTTAAATGTGTAAATCTCAGTGTATGGTGCATAAATATACTAAGATTAGTATCGCCGATATATTCCCGAAAGACACCTACCCCCAACTTATCCAACCAAATCTAAGGACGCCAATGAAAACACAAAGAATGCTGAGTGGATTACTGGAAGTACTTTCGGTATCGCAGCTATGTAAAAACGGTGATTTACATCATGCTCCGTGTACTGAGTGCTGAAGACCTTTACACTGATTTCAGAGGAGTGAACACCTTTCTTGTTTTAACAATCCTGTTTAGCTTTAACATCTTTGTCCCATAGCTGAAACGGCACTGCTGAGGTAACTGACAG